ATAAAATATCACCTGAACACTTAGTTTTATTCCCTAAGATGCTGTATTTGTACAACTTGCAATACTTGTCCATAACTATTATTACAAAATAATTAAAAATACAATTCTTAAATGTATTAAAATAGTATAAATCCTCTCATAATACTTATAGCCACAATTTCCAATCCCAGGACAACTCGATCCTTTCCTGTGTAGCGCACATGGGGCTGGTAAAATTCTAATAATTTTTGCGCACTCCAGGCACAAACCGAATCCATCATAAATCTCGGCCCGGCTCGATGACAATGCATCATCCGTGTGCAAACAGAAGGCTAAATCTCTTATAATATCCTTTATGTCCAGGATGCGCCATATGCGTGTGTAGGCTAAGGCAAGAGAGCACACATTCACACACCGATATAGCGGATATATACGTATATCACGAATGTGTGGAACGGGTTTCGTTTTCAACTTGTTAAATTTTCCAGCAAAAATGAGAAACAGACTTTAAGCGGCAAGGAAACGAAATGAAATGGAGGCAAGTGGCCAACGTCTCTGTTCGCCCTGCTCCCTTCTGGCATGTATGTGTGTGTATCTACAAGATACAATAACTTGGACCACTAGTGCCTCCTTCAAAAGTAGCCGAAAAGTACCGACAAAGTATCTGCAAACAGGAGGCCAAAAAGGAGAGCGCACATAAAACAAATGAAACTCTTGTAGCAGCAGCCGGCTGCCGGGAAAAGCACAAGAAAATTTCAAGAAAAATATTAAGACAACAACAACAACTACGAAGGCAAAAGCTCGAGTGTCTGCTTAGGGTGGAGCGGAGAGAGTGGAGGATGAAAAGTAGGAGGAGCCGGCTGCCAGCCATTTGTAATAGTTGCCAGGCTGCTTCCTGTTTGGCAGCCAGGCATCCTGCTCCAGGCCCTCCTCCGCCCACTCCCACTCCGCATCCCCTTTTCGCAGCAGACGGCAATAAAATGATATAAAAGTAAAAATCAAAAGTAAAACAAAGGGTCGGGGGGGAGATAAAAAAGGGAGCCAGTTCTTGATCTGCTGCTGCTGCTGCTGCCACTGCTGCGGGCTATTTCACGTAGTCGAATCAATTCAAAACAACTGCGAATGCAATTTAATAAAATCCGTGCACGGGCGAATTTCTTTCCGCTAGCTGCTAGCTGCTCTCGCTCCCTGCTCCCTGCTCCTGGTGGTGGATGAAAGTCCTCTGGCAAGGAGTAAAGCCAACCCGGCGCAAAACAATAAAGCGAGCTTGTGTACACAAGGGATATGCTTCTGTCTTTCAGCGCGCACACACACACACACGGACTCACTTACTCAGAGCCAGTCAGGCGCTCAGGCATGTGAGTCCTGCGAAACAGTCGCCATATTGGTCTCAGTCCTCCTGCCGCTGCTGCTCTCCTTGTTTGCCGAGCGCTGTTAATTTGGCAATACCCGCTTTCAATTATCTTATAAATATGAAAATGCAGCAGCAAACGCTCCAGGCACCATCCGAATCGTAATGAAAAACGTTTCATTTTTCATTAAGAATATACAAAGAACCAACTGTGCTGTGTACCTTTCAGATCAATCAAAAAATCATGACGTTCCCGGTTGCTCCTTGACCAGCAGGCGGACGAAGGATTGGCAAGACGCATGAAAGTGGCAAAAGTCAGGGGGATTCGCGTACGTGCCACCTGCATTATTCATTGCCTTCGTTGCCTTCGCTGCCAGTGCTACGCCGCTGTGACGCAATGATGGGTATTACCACCGGAACGGGGATTGGGATTGCGATTGGGAAACGTTGGTGCTCGCACGCACCTTCCTTCTAGGCGGACTAGGCGAGGTCGACACTCCGTTGCGCATCTCTGGCAATGCGCAAATATGTGCTCATCAGCAACATCCACGGCATCAGCGACATCAAAAACACTTGAAATAAAATTAAGGCTAAAGAGATCAAAGAAAAAGTTAATCAGAAAATTATTAAGAGACCATAAACTATTTAAAACTCATTTTAAATATCAAAAACCTTTAAATAGGTCATTGGAAAATATTTTATAATTAACATTACTCTTAAAATTATACCACCATTTTCTTCAGTGCACTTCGAATGATCGCCGCAGCGACACTATTTCAATTAGCAACTGCAATGCACGCGCTAAAATATGCAAAGTGCCTGCCACTCGCATTCGCATCCACGTTTCACGTCATGCCAGTAGGAGCCTCGTTGCTCCGCCTGCCTGCCATACCCACCAGATGCCTCGATCTCTCTCGATCCACCGATCCGCCGATCGATGGAGCACTTGACCCCGCCGGCGGCAATGTTGTTGCTGGCACACTTTGCACCGCACATTGCTTATTGGGCGTGTTTGTGTGTGCGGGCAAATATTTAACGCGAAATGCCGCAGCAGCGCAGCAAATGGTGGACCAGTGGTGGTCAGTGGTGGCCACAGCTGGTGCTGCGGTGAGCAGTCGAGCAGCCAAGCGAGGCTGTGACTGCGACAACGACGCTCCTGCAAAATGTTGAGCAATCTTGCGATCTGGTCAATTATCATCTGTTTGTCCAAGGAATTCCGCAAAGTGATATTGGAAACTATTTCGTAGAGTAGATCTGCAACAAGATCGGGAGCAGAGACAGCGAAAGATACTCACAAGATACATATCTTTGGGAAAACCATCTTAGGGGCCACTCAATGGTACATTAAGTCTATTTGTGTTGGTTGAAAAGTAGGCTGAAAAGGAGAAATAGCACTAGAGAGAAGGGTCTCTACTAGAGGATACCCTGGAGAATGTATAAGATGCCCAGAGGATTTTCTTAAATATGCAAATTGTAACCTTTGATGGATATATTCAATTAAAATTTATGTTACCAACTCTCCACAGTCCAAACCCTTTTCTACTTATGTTTACTCCAAACCTTCATCTCTGCCAAAATACAGGGTATTTAAAAACATGAAAAAAACCTCTATCCACCATTTAGAGTCAACCGAGCGCGGCATTTTTGTAGTACGAGTGCCTCGTACTCGTTCCAAACACTCATTATAGATCCGAGATGTGCTTGTTTACGGCCATAATGACGCTCAACGCCGGCTCGGACTCGGACTTGGCGTCGTCGTCGTCGTCGTCGATTCAACGTTAATCACGACTTTTACTTGTCTTAAATTTTTTTGGCAAATAACCCGGGAAAGAAGGAGAAACGGCTCGAAACTCTCGAGCGTCTGAGAAATGGGCGCGGACGGATCGAGTTAACATATAACCAGAGACGAAGGTGGATATTTCGGGCTAAGTATGGCCAAGTGGTATGTGTAAATTTTCACTGTCGCTTGCTTATTTTTTTGGTGTTTTTGTTATTGGTTTGGTCTTTTTTTTTTTGCTTTTTTTGTTTCGTGTTCGAATTCAATTTAAAATGCACGTAGTTATGTCTGTTTACTTAAGTTTTTGACGGATATTTTAACGATGTGAGCTCAACACAAATTCACTTTAAACGCTGAGAAGGTGGGGGGCTCGGAGAGGGGTAAGTAGGTAGGGAGTAGGTGGGGGAAAAGGGGTAGGGAGGCAAGACACATCCGCACCGATGACGAACGACAACGACAAACATGTCGAGATATTCACGTCCGAGTGATAATGAGATGCGCGCCTTTTTTCAGTCCTCTCTCTCTTCTCTTTCTCGCTGTCTCTCCATCATCATCTCCACTCTGTCTCTGCCTCCTCCTGGCATGTCACTTTTCTCTCCTGCTTTCTGCTTTTTCGCTGATAAACAAGATGGAGTTACATTTTTAGGTTAATTATGTGCTAAAGTGTGGGACGGCATACGGGCAGGAGGTGGAGGTTTCTCCTGGGTTTGGTTATATAAAACATAGCTACGAATATGATATCATGCCTCTGAAAATGAACATTCACCGGAGTCAGGCTGGACAGGATATTGGCTGCATTCCCCACATTTGGCTATTTGCAGGCTCGTAATTTCAAGCCAGTCCAGTCAGCATCATTCAAGGCCCTCTGTCCACTCAAATACACAAATCTTGTTTGTTTATAAATACATAGATAAACGCATGAGCAGGTTTCTACTAAATAGAAGATATATTAGGCAGGACAAGTGGGTTAAGAAGGTTTTAGCAATAAATATATAAAAATCCTGGTTGTTATTAATAAAAATACCCTGAATATCACTTAAAACTATTCCATGTATAAAGTCTTCTTTATTTAATTAATTTAATTAATTAAAGCATTATCTTTAGTAAAAACTAATACCTCATTAAGGAAGCAAACCCTCCAGGATACCTTCCCTCTTCGATCCTTCCCCAAAATGTAATATTTCAGGCCTTGATTTGCTATCTGATGAATTTGTGCTAATTTATCAAAAATGACCAAAAACCAGACATGGTTCAGCACAAGGCACAAGACGTTTGCTGATGCGGCAGGTTGTCCTGGAAAAAGGAGTCCAAATTGCCTGGCCGAGACCCAGAACTCGGGGTTCGGAGCTCGGAACTGGGGAACCCACTAGCTGCTGATTCATTAAATCTGTGCTAGGGAACATGCCTGTTGTTGCCTAGTTTATGGACACGGACGAAACCGAGTCCTCAAAGAGAGGCCAAACCGACAGGAGCAGGAGCGGGAGCGGGAGTGGGAGTGGAAGTGGGAGCAGTGGCGTTGCACTAGCCGAAAGCTGTGCAAATATTTTATGCAAATGTCCGGGCCCCGTCATTGCACGGACCCGGCTACAGCTACGGATATAGTAGCTACAGCTATAGCTACGGCTTTGGCTACTACGGTTGGGGCCACTGAAACGAAATTAATTTGTGTTTATACATAATATGCCTGGGTCCGGGTGTGTCCTGTTTTCCACTCAGTGCACAGTCACACACACACACGCAGGAGTGCCCGTGTGTGTGGGCTTGCCGCAATGAAATTTCATTATGAATATGCCGGCCAGCATCATTATCAAGAGCGGCAAAACAACGCAGTGCAGCGCACACAGCAAAGGATATGCACACAGTATGCGCGTACACAAGGATGTGCGAGCGCTTTTATATGAGCTGATGTTGCTGTTGTTGCAGTAGCTCCAGCATTTGTTGCTCCTGCTCCTGCTCCTGCTCCTGCTGCGGTGGCTTTGTTGTTGGCACTGTTGCTGCGGTCGGATAGAGAGCGTCCGCCAGATAGGCAACAATAATGCACATGTGTCTAAAATTGAGTTTAAATATACATACGAGCATGGGGGGTAAGTAAAGTTTGGCCAGTTGGAAATAATATAATAAAAAAAAATTATGGATGTGAATCGCCGAATAAAATACGTCGGGAGTCTATCTATTACAAGTAGGAACGATAAATTAACAAATAAAATTCATAAGTATATAAACCTTTAATCAAGCCTAGCTAACTTCTTGTTCCATCCTCTGGCGATATGTATATATTTATTGTCTGTACATATATGCTGGCAGCCGGATGACCAAAATCTAAAGTTAAATATTTCGTGTTGCAGCGGGTTAAACTTTGTGTTGTGCGAGTGTTGTGCGGGCGACACACACACACCCCATTCACACACACACACGCACTATGGACGAGCTGATCTCAGCCACTATGAACGCACATGCACACTATAATTTGTTGATTCTGCCACTTAAAGTCAGCTGCAGAGGCACCCACAGCTCCTTGCTCCTTGAAGAGCCCACCATCCTTCTGCCACTCGTGTTTCGTGTAGTTTTCTTTTTTTTTTTCTTTGGAAATTATGCCGGCACAGCAGAAAATCGTTGATTCATACGGTTGACTCCGCTATGCAAACGCAACTGGCTGTAAATCGGGTAAACTGTTGATGCATGTGGCGGCAGTCGGTGCAACCGGGCCGAGAGTCCTGGCAAAGTTCAGTTACCACCCCACGGGAACTGGCCAAGTCATCAGCCGAGGGCCGTATGCATATGCAGGCAACTGCGATATTGCTACTGCAGTTACTCCTGCTGCCACTGCTCCTGCTGGCGTTCCTCCTGCCGCTGCCTCTCCTTTGGCTGCTGCTGCTGCTCCTGGCTACTGCAGGTAGTGGTGGTGCTGCTGCCGCTGCTGTTGCTTTTGAGCAATCAATCAGCGAGCAAAAGTCAAACATTGACTTACAATCCAATCCACGGATTTAAATTGACGTATTTACCTGCGCCGGGCAGCAGCCTCGCAGCCTCGTAGAGCCGCAGAGTCGTAGACAATGGCGGAGGTTCCGGGTTCCGGATTTCGTACGGAGAGCTGCTGCTGCTGCAGTTCCGGCTGCGTTGGCCTGCGACTTGGACTCCCACGCATCTACTGCCAGCCCACTCTCCGGCATTAAATTGGGCGATTCGCCAAATTATTGAGTTGTCGCCGGCAGGACGCTCCAATGGCCTGCAGCCGCATCAATGGAGCGAGGGGGGAAGGCAGAGGGAGAGTCCTCTCAAGGGGTGGAGCTCTGGAGCTCCTGGGGGTCGCAACTTTGGGCCTGCTGTGTGCGGGCACGCTGTTTGGCCATTAAAGCTTCATATTTGACTTCTGAATAATTCAAATTACTAATATTGATTCGGGCCACGAGAAAAAAAGTAAACGCATTGTTGTTGTTGCCCCGGCCAGTTGAGCGACATTTCAGCATTTTCCTATGCAGCGGCAGGGACAACAAAAACAAGAGCACTGAGAGAAAATGGTTAAGAAAACAAAATCGTTAAAGATATTCCATCTTCGAACGTCTATAAAAAAAAGACTGGAACCTATAAACCTTATTTTGTGTTACAAAAAATATATTTAAAACTTAAGTAATTTAATAGCAATTTCTCTCACTGTATTGCAACAACAACGGGGCCAACGGAAACAGCAACAGCGACAATAAAACAGTCAACATGACAAACGTCGCGTCGCTGACGTTGACATTTGGTTGATTGGCGCCCCAGTCGTATACGTAATCAACGGAATGTTGACCACGTCCACCACGCACACGCCCAACACACCCGCACACACACTCTCTCTCTGGTACACACTTATGCATAGGAACATAGCCTGGCCTAGCTATAGTACCAACGATATATGCTTGATTGGATACGCGCGTATACGGAAAAATGCCAGGCGGTGGCGGCGGCCAGAGGCCATCAAAATCGGAATGGAAATAGGGACTCGTGGGGGTCGGCCAATAGGAATGGAAATGGCTGCTTGTCATGCGAGTGTCAGCTCCACTGGGGGAGCTAGTCCAGGATCCGGATTCGGTATGGATCCAACTGCTTATTTCCTTTTTATTGACAACACCGAGATGGACGGGGCGGGGCGGGGCGACGGACAGCAGAGTCGTAGCTTTTAACTAGTGTAAATAACGTCCTCATCAAATTGTCATAAGGACTCACCAACACACGCACGCACACCACCGGTGACAGAGAGACAGACAGACAGTTGCAGGCGTAATATGCATGTGGACAGCAATGGGAGCCAGACACGCCAAGAGGACGGAGTCCAATAATGGAATACCCTGCCTTGAGGGGGTCTATGGGAATGTAAATCAGAGTTGGAATGAAGTTATTGAATCCTTAAGATCCTTTTTGATCTATAAAATAATTTTAGAAAATTTTAAAATAAATTAAATACAGAGAAATGTATATTGTATATAAATCAGAAGAAATCTCTGATATTTTTCTAAATTTCTAGTATTAAACTTAAGATAAATGCTCTTCAATTCAATTTAATTTATTAATGAAGCTTTAAAGAACGAATTTCATTTAAAAAAAACGTATTAATCTTTAAAAATATAGAATTTTTCTTATAATTCTTCATTATTTTCCCCATAATTAAGAACAAGAGTAGCACATCCTTGGCTAATATCCCAGACCTTAGAAAATCATTTTCGTTTTCCAAAAGTATCTTTGTTATTTGGGTCGCCCTGCATGTGGTCGTTGTCCTGCGGGAAAGTTACTCCCCCAATCCTAAACCCACTCCTCCGCCTGTCCCAAACGCACACCCACACCAGATAGGACGCGATAAGCAAGGCCAACTATTTTCATTGTCTGCCATGTTTGCCAACTTGTTCTTAATTAAGCCAGGTTGGAGGGCCAGGTACCCCGGCCAACGCTCGGTTGGGTCAACAAGCTGTTCACATTTCCAGAGCCGACAGACCGGCCACCATTTTGTGAGATTCTTGCCTTAATCAGCAGCAGCAGCAGCCATATAGGAGGAACGGGTGGCCAGCCGATAAGAGCCAGAGCCCGAGGAGCTGGAGGAGATTGGAGAGTCTGCCAGAGAGGAGACCGGAGGCTAAAGCCATCGCTATATATAGCTGCACACACATACTCGCCGGTGATTCCCGTGGTCTTGGGCGTTATCTCTTCAGAAGAAGAAAGAATTTGCTCTGTTCTTGGGTCTGTTTGCTCGCTGTCCCGTCTCCGGATGCACTCTCCGGACTCCGGGCGGACTGCGGGCTTATCGCAGCCCCGACAACTGTCTCATTATACGCGCTGCGATCGCGGCGACGATCTGCGGCGTTATTTGCATTTATGCAGCGTCTGATTAGATAAGCACCTCTCAACAGATACGGATACGGACAGCAGTGCTTTGTGCGTCTTCCTGTTCTCGAGTCGGGTCGCTCCGTACGTACCTGATCCAGATAATGGGAACCGACTTTATCGTGGTCGCAGATAAACGACGGGTCTTAGCGTTGATTCGCCTCGCCTCGCCTTGTTGACAAAGTGCAATTTACAACTTTTCCGAGAAGTGTACAGAGGAGAATATGCCGCCCGGTTCGAGTCTTAATAAATGCAGTAAAGAAAAATAAAGAGACAACGCCCAGGGAGTACTCCATTACTTCTCATGGAGCTGGCCTGGGACAATCCCCTCGATGGCGGACCCAATGCTTAATGCTTTCGCAAATAGTCCACAAACATCCGGTGGTCACACTCGAAATGCCACATGTTAGTCGCTTTTGAATATCCAAATTACTGTTTGACTTGCTGCGGCTTATTTCTCTCACAGTTTCCATTTTTTGTAGCGAAAAATTAAGATCACATTGGCATCGACAATGCGTCAAAGTAACCAAAACCACTCAAATGGGTAAACAAAGCCAAGGCTAAAAAAAAGGCTTGACCGACTGAGAGGGCTGCGAGTTGTGAGCTGCGAGTGCGGTGTGAAAACCAAAAGCTTTGCGATTCCCAGAAATGCCTGCACTCTTCTACAGCGGACAACCCATTAACGGGTATTCCCGACATTAATGGAATGCCTTCGAGAAGCAGGAGAAGCTTGAGAATGTCTTGGAAGAGCTCAAAGGGTTGCTAATTTGGTCGGTACTACATAAGGATGTATAACATAAAAAAATAACCAATATGATATAGAGACAAAATGAAAAACCTTATTTCCTTGTGGCTAATATTTGTTGATACCCCAATCAAAATTCCAAAACTCTCACTGACTCTCCTATCTCCGAGTCTTATCTGTGACGCCTGAAGATTTGCTAAACCCTATTCATCCCGTTGTCTTATCAGCTAGTTTCCAACTCTATCAGCCCAAAGAAAATCCCCCCCATACGGACATTTTACTGAGCTCAGACAACTTAAGACCCGGAGCTCCCTCTCTGGCTAATTGTAATCCCTGTATTTACCTATGCATATGACTGCCAGAACGCCTTCTCCAACGAATCGAACATCGATTGGCAGTCGGCGGGGGCGGCATGTTTCGATTGTTTATTATTATCACCTACCTACAGGTGTCGTTCCATAAACATTTTCAAACAAGGCCACTCCAGCTCCAGCTCCAAGCCAGGGAGCTGCTGCTGCTACATGGCCCAAGTCGGAATCGGAGGGGATCCGGGACGAAGACGGAGCCGGAGTCGACTGCCTGTATGAATTGAACAATTGCTGGCTTCGTTTGCGCAAAGCAAATATTTTACAAATCAAGCGCTTTTCTGATTTTGTAAATGTGGGCTACCAATTTCCCTCGCACACACACACTCTACTCGGTGTGGTGTGGTGTGGTGTGTGTACACACCAACGAAAGCGCAAGTCATTGGCAAAGATCTACATAAACTCACTCGCTCACTCGCTCACTCGCACTGAATAATAAAAAGCAGGGAAAAAGGAGGCTCGTGCCCTGCAAGTCCGCAAGAGGCATTCTACTAACAATATTTAACTGAAAAATATTTATTATTTACCAATTTGTTTGCTCGACTAATAACAATAATCGTAGCAGCACAAGAACAACAACGCAACGCCGAGAAGCCACCACAGTAAAAAAAAAAAAAAAAAGAATACAAAATAAAAGAAAAAGTCATTCATAGAGAGAGGCTCCCCCAATGCACATAACCCCCACCATCGATATGCCCACTTCGATTCCAGTTTTTCAAGCCCCCCGCCAGCTCTTCTCGCAGCCAAGGACACTGCACCGCTATGAAAATCGAATACGAAACAATCACAAATATTGGCAGCCAGCAGCGAGTGCAGGCGAGGAGCAGCAGGAGCAGCAGGTCGCCCCCACTTCGCACTTGGCAGACATGCGCTAGACGGCGGCTTGTGTACACTCTGCCCGCCATTTGCCTGCGACTCCAAATGCACTGGGAAAAATATTAAGGGAGATTCGGGAAATCTAGAAATATTTAAAGCAGAGAGAAAGGGGAGAAAGCGTTTTGTACGATGTTTAAAAATTCGATAAACTGTATTGAAACAATACAATCTCAAAATGAGAACTCACATAAAGTTTTTCTAATATTTTTTGATTATAATAACAATAAGTTACTGTTATTTTTAAAATTTTTAGATATTTTAAATGCGTTACTTCAAATATTGATAGACATATAAAATGGGACTTTTTCTAAAAGATACTTGCGACTCAGGGCTTTGGGCACCCCTGTCCCAACCCCATCTACATATTTAGATATTTAATATCAGATATATATATCCTGATATTTTTTTTTTTTGAGTGCCTGAATTGAAATGGGAGCGGCAGCACTGCCTTCTCGCCATCGACATCCTGCCGCAGCGGCATTGTTTTTGTTTGCCTTTTTGTATTTCTATTTGCTCGCAAGTTTAGTTTGAGTTTAAATTTATTCCTCGCCACCCACGCTCACCGCCCACCGCCTACCGCCAGGCGTCCTCCTGGTGCCGGCTGGATTTCTTGTTGATTCCGCTTTGGATTGCGATGCGCTCCACTTCGATTCGACTCAATTCGATTCGATTCCCACCCAATTGGCTGGGATATGGCCTTGCCTTCCCCCTCGGAAGCCCTCCTGCCCCGCCCTGGCTGCATTAGAGCCGAAGTTGTTAAGCAGCGCTAGATAAGTGCTCGAATAAACATAAATAATAAATGAC